TATAAAGTGCAAGTTTCAGGGCCTTAGTTGCACATCTAAATTACAGTTCTTTTTGATTCCTAATGTTGTATATGCTTTGTAAACATATGCTTAATTCTCTCAACTTTTTTAATAGGATACTACTAATGTTTGAGGCTGTTGATAACTCATATGAAGTGGTTCTTGTACCACTAGTTTCTGAGAACAGGAAGTCATCATCAATGACAGAGCACTGGAACAGGCTGCCCAGAGAGGTTGTGGAGTCTCCTTCTCTGGAGATATTCAAAACCTGCCTGGACACGATCCCATGCAACCTCCTCTGGGTGATCCTGCTCTAGCAGGGGGTTGGACTAGCTGATGTGCAGAGGTCCTTTCCAACCCCTACCATTCTGTGATTCTGTGATTCGGTGAATGCCGTGATCACAGCAGATACGCCAAAGCAGCAGAGTTTCCTGAAAACTGAGAGCCTCAACTGTGTGGCAGTTCTGGTTTCAAAGGCCTAATGCCATTTCCAAGCTGCAGTAGTCAAAGATACTTAAGAGACACTCAACCCAAAATTTAACCTTGTCAATGTTTTGCCAAATTCTTGAAAAACAATAGGTTATGTCACCCAAGAATGAGCTTAGTTTGAGTGGAAGAGCATTATTATGTTAATCTACCCCTCAAAGCATGTAAACTTCACATCATTCAGCCTTGCAAGCAGGTCCTGGTTTCTAGAGGTAACAATGTTCATTCATATACCAAAGTACTTACAAGATGATTGCTTTGACTGCGGCTGCTAAAAAAATTTAAGTTAGGGGCTTTTATTGCTTTGCAAATACTGTCTCCTGTATGTAACGGGTGTTCTTATTGACATCTCATATACAGGAACCACGTCTAGCAGTAACACTGTTGTAGCTGGCCAGGATAGTTTTCCTGATGTAGAGGAGAACAGAATGGTGAAAGAGACTGAGGAAAGGTTTGTGTTTTGGTTTTTTTCCCCTCCAAAATGTATGTGTTTTCCTAGGCTAAGGGTGAGATGTTGGGCAAAGTTCTGTATTGTTTGGTGAGGAACTCTGATGCTCAGACTGATGCTAAGTGGTGTTATCCCAGTAAGACCATTTTAAAATAAGCATATGTAAGAGTTTAAAAAAAAAAGCTATTCACATGATTCCAGTGCCTGACTGTTGTTTAATAATACATTGCAGAGGAACATCTGTTAAACCTACATTGAATTAATTGTGCTAAGTAGATCATGGTTTTGTAGGAATTATCCACAAAGGAGAAAGAAAATCAAGAGTGTATACCAACAATGACTACTTAAATCTTTATGAAAAATCAGGTTCGATCACACCTTTTCATTTCATGGACAGTGAGTAAAATTTAGTATGCAGATTTGTATCCATGATTGCAAGGACACCTCCTTTGTCTGGATAAAATGTCTTACAGAGGAAAGCTTTGTAAAATATTTTGCTTAGAAATTATATATTCGATTTACTCTTTTGGTACTTACAGTACATACTGACAAATGGTGAATGAACACAAATGTTAACAGCCATCAGATCCTCAAGTACAGATACATATTTCTTCTCTCACTGAAACCCTCTTATTTTTGTAAGAGAACTTTGAATGACTTCTAACAGCATTAATTAGTAAATGCATTAGTAGTATGTTAGTTTGTTGTTCCTGATAGTCACTAGTATCACTTCAGTAGTCCAACTCACCCACCGTCCATAGGTTCAGGGCTGACAGGTATAGAGACAATTATGTGAGCAAGCTTTTCTGTACTTCAGAACTTGCTTGCCTTCTGCATGTTATAAACGTGAGTATCATTTTGTCAGGTTAGTTATGTCTGTCTGCTAATTTAAATGCAAGCAAAAAATGGCACTCAGTACTAACTAAGGTTTCAAACTGATAGTAAAGACTATTTGACTCAAAATTATGGTTTTCAGGATAGGCACTAGACATGTACTTACAAGGAAGATAAAACCATTCTCCTCTGGATTATTTTTTCGTGATTCTTTACATAAATGTTTATGGCTATATAGTTTTAAGTTAGATTTTTCTATAGTTGATTTGCAGATAAGTTGAGCAAACGTCATCTACTATACTTTAAATCTAACTGTGTTTTCAGGGTTTCTTGTTTTACATAAATTTTAAATGTAACTCCAAAAAGGTTTTGGCATTGAAATCTGCCAGAGACTATACAATAAAAATGAAAGGAAGATTACAAAGTTCTGATATTGCTGTTATGATTCCTGCCAAAAGACTCCTCAGAAAAAAATATAAAATAATTTGCCTGAATTCATTGCTGGCATTTATGTCATCAAAGACACTAGAAGCTGTAAGTGCATGTGCACTTCAAAACCAATGTGTCAATCTTAGAATATCCATTAATATTGACTTCATGTGTCAAGACATATTAAATAATGTTTACAGAAGGTAATAGATTGTAAACAAACTATTCTCATAAATGTGGGCATTTTTTTAATAATACAAAGCTAATCAGAAGATATCTATGTTTTTATGTTGATGCAATGTGATGTAAAATGCCCTGCTCTTGAATAATTTCTATGACCTGTGTTCTCCATTTGTTTCATACAGGATAGAATTCATCTCTGCATATTTCTACATATTTTTTTCCCTAACTTTATTCTTTTATCTTTTTTATGCCAGATAAATCTGTCAGTAATTTTTGTCAGTTTGTACACATTTATTAAGGGAATTTATTAAAATATAGGAGCATCAGATCTGGAAGGACAGAAAATGGCAATATTAAGATGCTCATGATGCTTTTTTGTCATGTCCACAATGAATTTATTGTGCCATTATGAGACAGATGTGCTTTCGAAACAGCATAATATGTCAATGTACAATTAAATACCCTTCAATAATATGTATGCACATTAGTAATGAATTGAGAACCTTCAATCTTGTTTTGCTTGATATAGTTGTTTTAACATGGTTACTTGTAATTAATTTCCTAGCTTTGCTGAAACAGTGATGTTTTTACATCATCACTGGTGTGTGAACCTCCTGTATGGCTCCTCTCACTCCATCTCAGCCCTGATTACACTGACAGCACAAGGAGGTGGAGGAAGCCAAAGGAGATAACCAGTAGTTAGCTCATTGTGGATCTGTGGCAGATCTGAGGACAGCTGTGAACAGTTCGTTCTGGCTGTCATATCCCTTAACTCCTCTACTAGATCTGCTCTGGCAGTTGCTGAATTTTCCTATTGAAGGGTGATCTGCTGCAGCTTTTGCTGGTTGATACCTGTGCAGGCTCGACTTTGGACTATTCAGCCAGTTACTGCTTTAGCAAGTGGCCAGAATTTTACCCATGAACATGGGCCGTGACAAAATACTAGCTGTGAACAGTTTATATCTCAGTTCAGCCTTACCACAGTTTCTTGCTTCAAGAAAATCACACGTTTGCAGCATGAGAATTTTCCCTCTGCTAAACTTTAAAAGCTTGTGACGCAGGAGCACACTGTTAGAACTTCTCAGAAACTGGCTGCAAAAATCTTCTTTTGTGGAAAGAGACAGCACATTGCTCTCTACTCCTGTATAAAAGTGCATGCTTAAGGAAATGCTTTTTTAGAAGAGTAAGCATATAGTCCAGATGTTTAATGTCAGTCTGTGTTTTTAATGAAGATTTTTCTTGTATTTGAAGGTTCAGTAATGTAATCAGAGCACATACCCGACTAGAATCGAGGTACAGTAATAGCTCCGGAGGATCTTACGATGATGACAAAAGTAAGTTCTGTTACTCAATTTGATGAAATTTCAGATGTTTTGGTGGGAGAGGAAAACATTCTTATGACTGGTGGACGTTCTCTGTTTAAGTTCTGTGGAAACAGTAATGTAGCATCACCATACAGGGAGTGTCCTTCATACCTCATTTAATTAATTTCCTTTGTTTAACCTGGGCTCAGTCAAACCTACTTAAAGGCCAGAGAACTTCACAGAAGGCAGCAGCAGAGAATCCTCCAGACAGTAACACCTTGAACCTTTCATACATGGCAAGGCGAAAGGCACAGGAGCATTACAGCAAGTACTTTGAATTGTGCCCTTCACCAATATTTCCCTCCAAATCAAGCACCGTTATATGAGCATGAAGAAGAGATTCAGGAGTTTCCAAAAAGGAAGTCTTGTCTCTTCTTTAGCTTTTCTCTGCTGTCTGCAACCAGTTTTTGGCTGCACTGGGCAAACCCGTGTTAGAGGGGAGAGTGAGGTAGGGCTCCTGAGCACACTTGTTGTTCTTTATGTACTTCTGCTAAACAGACTATAAATAGGCACTTGATGCTTCAGCAGAGATTCCAAAGAAAACCAAGGTATTTCTGTCAACTATTGAATAACAGTGTAGGAGTTGGATGATTTGACTTCATTTCTGGAGTGCCTTGTAAGGAAGCCAATCTACAGCTTTTGGTTAAGCTCTAACCAAATGTGAAAAAGGCAAGACCTTTTTATTGACTTTTATCTCTGACTTAATGAAGCCATGTCAAATAATAAAGAGGCCATAATATCTTGTCTTGATGCTACGAGCACCATTTTGGGACAATATTTTGGCATAAAAAGTAAGGATTTTATATATTCTTTGATCCAAGTAACTTTTTGGCAATACCCTTCTGCAAAATATGGAAACACTGTCAAATACAATATGATAGGATAATTTAAGGTGTATCAGCAACTATTTTTCATAATTATGAAGCACAATATTTACAAAATATTGTGTATGTACATACTGCACTATTTAAATACACAAAAAAGTGTGCAACATATTTAACTCGATGGGTTTTAGTACACCTGTCTTGTTTCTTCTTATGGTGCTGCAGCTACTAAAAATTTTTCAGCAGATATTAATTGGAGCACTGATCTGATCTGCATGAACAGTCTTTCAAAATAGAACAATGTTTATATTATCAGAACATTCTTCACAAGTAGTTGGTTTTGACAAGAGCTTAGAGTAATAAAAGGTTAAAAAATAATGAAAGTTTCTTTGCTCTTTTGGAATGTCTCCTCAAACCGGTGCCCAATTTTTTTTTTCCTGCCTGTACCTGCAAGCTTTATAGTACTGTGAATATTTATGCAAGGTTTGCTTCTCACAGGGGTTCCTTCTGCAAATATACGAATACCTAGATGTAAAATAAAATACATTTTACTTAGCTACTGACATTTATATAGAACTCTAAAAAGAAAGAGTAATTCTTATACCATTTGTCATTCTACAAGATAAATAATGCAACCTTCATTAAGAAAGCACAACTTATTCCCTCTGGCAGGCAGCCCAGGCTGCAAAGGAGTTGGTGGTATGGCTTCTCTCTTCGCTCCAGTCTACTTGAGCATACATCTATTGCTGAGGATATAAATAGGGAACACAACTCTGCAGCACAGAAACTCTTTTGTTCGGGCAAAGTTTGTATGTTAAGGTTCAAAGTGCTTCTGTTTTTTTCTCAGTCTGCACATAAACCTGTGAAAACATGAGTGAGGAGCTAGGTCTTAGTGTGGACTTCATGAAGAAGTTTTATGTGAAACACTTAAATTGGTAGTAATAAATAGTGACCGTGCAGTGCTTTTTATGTGAAAAGCATCTGGCAATCATTATCTGGTTAATCTTTAAAAAATGAATATGTGAAAATGCTATACTTTTCTACATTATTAGGTCAGTTTATTCTTCTTATCTGTAACTAATAAATCATTCTTCAGAAGATGAGAGAAATAAACAGAGATCTAAATCATAAAGATCTAAAGTGCTTCTTGGACGACTAATGCTGAAGAATGAGAAGGATAAAGTTGTCATTTAGTAATAATTGGAGGAGCAACTACTGCATTGAAGGGCTCCTGAAGATCTGGAAACCTGAAAACATTTTGTCAAAACCAAGAAGTGATGTGCATTAGAAGAAGCAAGCTCTGATACTTTTGTAGGCATCAAAACAGTTTTGTTTCCTGTGGCAAGGCCAACAAGCATCTGATACATGCTGTTAAAAAAATGGAAATGCTGAGAGTTTCAAAGTTACCTAACATGCAAAAGTGTAACAGAAAAACAGAGCAAAAAATAACGGTCTCGCGAAAAACTCACAAAGGGCAATGTTTGGATATATGTCAACAACAGGGCTGGAAAGCGAAGTCTGTGTGTCACAGATTGCCAGACCTGGGAAATAAAAACTGACCAATGGGGAAATCGAGAAGAATGAGAGGGAACAAAATACAGGAGAGATGAACAAAGCTGTGCAGCTGAGAGGAGACGGAAAGCAGTGGAAATAGCTTATTTGACCCATATCATTGCAGATAAATGGGTGGAAGAAAAAACCCTATTGCTTATTAACATACAGCAGCTGTCATACTGAAGCTAAGTTAAATACATCTTTGAGAAATTCAAGAGATAATTCATCCCTGTTGAAAGAAAATTACCCTGAAGATGATTTTTTGCATTCCTTATGCCTCCTTCCTAATTCAGGACATTTAACTTCTGCCTCTGTAGCATCACTCAGCAGGGCACTGGTGAGGAGCTGCAAGAATGTGTCAGTGGTACGTGGCTCCTTGCAGCAGATGGCTTCCGACAGGATCTTTGTTGGCTGAATTTTCCTCTCATTTTTTGAAATTCTTGCTTGGTGCTTTGTGATCTAGATCCAGAGCTACCAAGTGACAGCAGGGATTCAGCTGCAGCTCCCACCATTCAGTGCTGTCTGCCTGGAATCTGTTTAATTTCCAGCAGCATGAAAGAGGGATTAAAAACACATCACTTGTTATTGAACACAGGAATTTGCAAACCTCATGTTGTCATCTTCTCACATTATTCCAAACAGCTGAGCTGATATGTCAGCATAAACTCTGTTTTATTATTTCTCCAAAATGGGTAACCAGAGTTGGTTTTTATGCACTCTGTTTTAATGCTTTTCCACACAGATGATCCTGTTTCTCCGTATACAAGCTGGTTATTGAATATTGTTGAAACCAAACAACCACATCCTCTGCCCATGCCTTACAATGGAGGGTGTTGGGCACCGCTTGTGGACTACCTCCCAGAAACCATCACACCCCGTGGGCCCCTTCATAGGTGAGTAGTTTCTCATTCTGACATTTCGAACAGTGAGATGCTTCCTCTTACTGGTTGACCAACCCCAATCCAACTGTCCTACCACTCAGAACATCTGCAAATCAGACCTTCAATTTCTGCTGATTTCTGGTGCTAAAATCATCATGCAATGAAGACTTGCAATTCTACCGGATTTCTACCAGAAAGCCTATGTACAAAGTAGGACATCACTTTCTGCTAGGAATCAGACTGAAGAAACAACTAAAACAGAAAAGGAAAATTTCTCTTTCCTAAGCCTCTGTGGCTGTTATTCATGACACTTTTTCCCCCTTGATTTTTTATTCTAACTAGGCTATGCATATTCTAATTCCTCTTTTACATAATTTGTATTGACAGTAATAGTGTTCTTGTTAGTAATGGGTACTTACCTGCTTAATACTGTAACTAAGTTGCTTCGGCATTAATCATATTGAGAAGAAATGCTACAGATTTGAAAATGAAGAGATTGTTTATTTCTTCAGAAATAGCCATCATGTTACTGTTTTCCCATCTCCAAGATGTTTCAAACTGATACTGTGATTTAATTTCCAGGTGCAATATTGCTGTTATCTTCATGACTGAGATGGTAGTAGATCACAGTGTGAGAGAGGATTGGGCTCTTCACCTCCCTTTATTGCTGCATGCTCTCTTTTTAGGTAAGACCAACAGAAGAAGAAATAAAGTATAAATGTACTCCTGTCCTTTTAGTTTAGTTTTGCTGAAGCTGTAGAGTTGTGTTTCTTATATGTTTTTAATTATGATTTCCTAAAAAAAAAAAAAAAGCTTGAGACAATTAGTCTGTGAATTGATGATTGACTTCCTAAAATATGTCTAAAAAAACTGCAGTCCCCCTCTCTCCATGAGAAAGGCAGGTGAAACTCAGCCTTTGTACAGTCTGATTTGTGATGGGCAGCTGGGCAGTCAGCACATGTCATAGACCTGGACTACACACACCCGTGCTGTCTCTTGCCTTTGCAAAAATACTATGTAAGAGAGCTGAGATTACTATACTGCAAAGAGAGCAAAGGTAGGACACAGATCACTGGAAAGCAACCTTCATTAATTTCACTGCTAATGGAATATTTTATCATCAGTGCCATCCCTTATATACTTGAGCATAGAGGCACTGCGTTTTCACCACTGCTGTGTCTGTTCTTGACCGTAACACAATTCATCTGGAGGGTGATACCTTCCTTGTCCTGCCACTTAATATTATGAAAAGTGAGCGGCCTAATTTTTTAGCACACAAGAGTATTTAGCATTATAAAGCTATTCCCTAACTTTCATGGTTGATAAATACTAGTTTTCACAAATAAACACAGCCAGACACTTGTGAAATAAATAAATTTATTATAACTGGAGATTGCAATCCACTTGTCATTCAGTCACCATAGTTACTGCTAAGGCTATTCAGTATATAGTTGAAGAAGATACCTTATTCTCCTTTTCTGCTACTCTGCTACCAACTGTTCCATTTGAAATTTTTTGATGAAATAGGGTTTTTTGGAAAATGCACACTCATCAAATACTCAAGTTTTGTATATCAGTACATTGATTTCAAGAAACTTCTAATGAAACACAAGAATAACATCCAGGACCATGTCGGATGGAGCTTCCAGGGTCAGTTTAAATACAACATTTCACATAAATTCTTCACTTAAAAGTTAAATCTATTTTGTGGCTGCCCATAACAATTTTTTACTTATTTTTTATATTGCTGTGAACTTTCTAAGTGTAAGAGGGAGCTGAAGGAGAACTGGATAAGTGTATCAATCAAATCAATAACCATCAACTGATCAAACAATGTTTTTAGTATGATTTGTAACAAGTGTGAGAAAACTAGTGCTTACAGTTAGAAATTCTCACAAGAATAAATTAATAACCTTAGACAGAAGCAGTATGCAGCAGGACGACCACTTCAGTTAAGACAGCTTTAAGAAACCATCAGGGAGCCATGCAAATAAACATATGCAGAAACAGAGTTATGATATTAGTAATCCATTATAAAAATATCTTTACTGATTTGTTCATTCAGCAATGTTTCAACATTATATTATTTCATAAGAAGTAAATAGAAATTTATGAATACCATTTGAGACAGTCCCTTGACTAAGAACTCTCCATTCGCAAATGTGAAACTAGAGCTAAATGTAACTGATTACTAAATGAAACTGGTTTAGTTGTAACTAAAATGAGATCACAGCCTCCAGTCTTCAAGATAAGTTTCTCTACAGTTGCTATACCTCCTGTGGAAAATTTTCCTGTTTTGTAGTAGAGCTCTGTTATGATGGTGTCAAGAAATTATGCTACACATGTTAGCTAAAGGTATGAATGTGATTGAAAAGGAAGTATTTCTGTCCCTTTGGAATGTGAGCAGGCAGATGCATGTGCCTGAAAAGGAAACTGGAAACTGGTATGGTAGCTAGCTGGACAGCCTGTATCCTTCTGTTTATTGGAATGAGTAAAAAATTACTAAAATGAAGGAATTTTGCAATGTATGTGTTTAACAGGTTATTGGATGGTTTGTAGTACTGATAGTGAGGTAGAGAGGCAGACTGCTGGTGTGAACTTCCTATCTCAGTAGTGCATGAAAATAACTGCTGTTTAAAAACTCTTTTGCAAGCAGTGTGAAATGAGTTGAGAGGCTAGACTCCTTTCCCATGGAAATGTGTCCACATCACAGAAGTTTACCCTCTTGGGAACTCTTCCAAGTTAAAGAAGGGCCCGGCACTGGACAAACACAAAGACTGAACTGTCCTTCTCACTTCATAGTTAGCATATCTATGTCAATACTTTCATACAGCCCCAGAGTTTAACAGGATTTCAGTCACAAGCCCTGCCAATATAGAATTTATTTTCAACTATAACTTTGTATGTCATTTTTAGTGTATGTTAGAACAGAGTAGGATGGGTTCGTTATCTCCTGGCAGGTGGAAGGAAATGGAGAAAGGAGAATAGGAGCAGAAACCTGAAGAAGCTGAAGAAGAGGTGGGCAGGTTGGCTGTGGTTCTTTTGGAGGAGGCTGTGGGCAGATGAGTAAAGCCAAGGATCACAGGACTTCCAAAGACTTGCCCATAGGAGCCAAAGACACATTGTTCAGACTGTGGCAGTATGAGCAGATTCATTTTTGCAGGCCAGACAAGAACCAGTGTGACTGGAGTATATTAGGTAACCCTGACTTGAAAGACCTGTAGAGTAAAGGAGCTGCTTTGTAAAGAGTATAGAATCATAGAATCGTAGAATGTCCTGAGTTGGAAGGGACCCATAAGGATTATTAGTCCAACTCCTGGCTCCACACAGGACCAGCCGAATCAGAGCATATGACTGAGAGCTTTATCCAGATGCTTCTGGAACTCAGTCAAGCTCGGTGCTGTGACCGCTTCCCTGGGGAGCCTGTTCCAGTGCCCGACCACCCTCTTAGTGAAGAACCTTTTCCTAATATCCAACTTAAAACTCCCCCGTCGCAGCTTCATTCCGTTCCCATGGGTTCTATCAGTGGTCACCAGAGGGAGGAGATCAGTGCCTGCCCCTTCGCTCCCCCTCACGAGGAAGTTGTAGGCCACGATGAGGTCTCCCCTGAGTCTCCTCTTCTCTAGGCTGAACAAACCAAGGGACTTCAGCCTCTC